GAATAATTTATTTTACAATTTTCGGAATAAATTTATATATTAATATTACAAAAAAATGTTAGTAAATACTAACTGGTATATTCACAGCATCCTTTGCTACAACACTTGTTACCATACCGAAAATAATTTGTTGTTGTTTATTAGTTTTCTCAAGCCTCACTAAGAAGAGTTGAGATCTATGTGGGACTAAGTAACATAAGTAACTTTGCCCCACAAAATCAGATGACAAGAAAACCTTAGAGGCTCGACTAGATGTAACATCCCTTAAAGAAATATTTATGTATTAAAGCTATGTTCTTCTAAAAGAATAGAAAACAAGAAAAGTTTATAAAGATTTATATAAAAATGTAACTCTTACTTTGGAATTCCAACATTTTCAGTCCACACGTGATCAAGACATATCTCAGGGTACAGAGGTTTACTTGGTGTAACATTTTGTAGCTGTATGTTACTACAGTTAGTAAGAGGACTATTTTGTACATGACTTGATGTAGAAACCATCATTGTTTGATGTAACCTTGTATGATGAAGAATAGAAGAAACAGGTGCACCAAGTAAAGGTGAAAAAGCAGAATGAGTAGGAGACTGACAGCGTGAAATAGTTGCCATTGGACTTTGAGATCTTGAATGTTGCTGTTGTTGTTGAGAAGGTGATGGGCCTCCAGAACATGTAGTAGTATAAGATGTTCGTGAACCAAATGGACTACTTGATATTCCCAACCCAATATTTAATTGTGGATTTGGCACACCTAAAATACAAGTAGATTGTTCATTAAAAATTTCCAGTTTTTTAAATTGGACAATTTTTTTAAATAGTGACAGATTATTTTTACCAAATATACTTAAGTGTCCTTTATTTGTACTTTTATTATAGGAAAGATTACTTCCAATATTTAATGGAGATACACTTGCTGATTGATTAAATATACTAGAAGTAGTATCATTACTTCCAGAAACTATCTGACATTCTTCTGCTAAAGCTTTACGTATTTTATATACAGAATGTAATCCAGTCTTTATATCATACATCACAGCCAAAGATGGTTCAGCACTAGTAAATACAATCTGTTGATTTGAATCACACATATATGATATGTGTCCTGCAAAAATAATTGTAAATATATTGTATTTTTCTATTTTAAATACTATAACAAACTCCATAAAATTTATACCGATACCATGTTTAACAAGTACAGGGCAAATTTCATGTAAAGGGTGCAAAAGAGAAAATGCCACTGGTAGAGTTGTATTATTATGTGACTGCAATCTATTTCCTTCTGAAGAGATATATCTAAAATTATTAGTTACATTGTAATGAATACATATTAAACCTAAAGTATTGTACACATTATATTATAATAAACCTTGTTTCTGATGTGGGAACTTGTGTTTTCTCCAACAAAATTCCATATTTAGTTGGCCAAACAGCAGATACCTAAATAATAATGTAAAAACATCTACATTATAATTATACATTTGTAATAAAAATATTATATTTAATTCAAATATTACCTGAAATTGTAAACTAGATACATAATCTTCTCCACTATTGGTAAATACTTTTAGAGTATATGAATCAATTAAACAAATGCATTCTGTTGTTTTCTCATTAACATCTTCTTCATCTACTTCCTTTCCTTTTGTTAGATGATCAGGTATACTAGTATGAAATTTGCACCACAGTGCATGTTTAATATCTGTTTCACAAGTATAGGTTGTTTGCAATATTCTAGTAGTTTGATTACCCTTTGAATGAATTGCAACTTTGCCTGAACAATATAATTCTTCTTCACCACATATATCATTTTCACGCACAATCCAAAATTCTTTCTACATATGTAAAATTGTGTTAAAAATTTTAAATAATAATTAATACAATCATAATTAATAATCACACTTACTGGTGATCTCCCTGAAATGTTTACTTGACTAAACTTTTGTAATAAAATACTTTCTCCTTCCACTGTTTTATTATTTAATTGTTGTTGATTAGTTACTGACTCAGGATGCCGTAAAATTGTTTGTCTTCCACCAGGAACATATTCCTTTAAGAAATGTGTTATAAAATTAAGGTTATAATTATTAATAGATTACTTATCGATTTAAATTAATAGAAATTTCATTGCTCAATAATTGCAAAAATAATATATTTTAATGTTTGGTTACATGTATTTGATTATATCTTAACCTAGAAAATGTATGACTTACCACCGGTTCTGAGGCGGCAATCATCTTTTCCCTAGTTTCATCCAGATTTGCAGGATATAATTATTAAAGACTAAGAAAACAATATGATAGTATTTATTTTAAATTGTCTCTTAGGATTATTTGAAAATATTTTTGCAAATACAATGTTGTTAAACGATGAGTCACAATGGACGTCGCCATATTCAAATGTATTGTCTGGCAAAGCAAATTTGAGGCTTCAGGCGGGCTTTAGGGTCCAGAAATGGTAGATGTGAAAGTTCTGATGTCTCGCTGTTAATCAGTCAACAATGATAGAATACAACTATCGCACTTACTCTTTTATGAAAAATAGATTATGTTCGTGCTTCGCTTGAGCAGTCGGTAACAAATGAACCACGTACCGATTTTTAAAGCGCGAAAACGGTGACTGTTAGTCTGTGATGGCATACTATTTTTCATTACAATTAGAAATTTTTGGGCTTCATAAGCAATTTTTTAAAACACAGAAAATTAAATATGTATACAAATTTTACATAGTGTACTATACACATAAGTAACTTAAAAAGGGGTTGTTTTGCACATATTAAATAAAATACTGATTAACAAATAACTACACAGCAGTAATAAATTATAAAAATTTGTTATTACAAATAAAAATACAATTATTAAAGTAAAAAGTGTAAATATTACATATATTAGTTGTACAATACTGATTACTAATATAATTTACGACATTTGAATAAAATGCATCTTAAAATAGTTAACTTAATTAAATTATATTTTTACTTATAAGTGTGAAAAATTATGACATTGTTTAGTAACTATACGTTTATTTTCTACATCAATATAAGAATGAATATAAAGAATAAATAACATGACTGTAAAGAATTAACCAAGGTTCAATGATATTATCACAGTTAAAAAGCATACAAACTCAGACAAATTTCTTAATATTTATATTTA